GGCGGGCCCGTCTTTCCCTTTCCCTTTATTGCTTTTCAAAAAAAAAGGTTTTTGGGAACCCTCCCCCACTGCCCTTGGGGGTACTCCCAAAGTTGTGCCCCTTTTCCCCCAAAGTAGGGTGATTGTTTTGGTTTTCCCAAACCCTTTTGAAAAAAAATTCAGCAAATATTCTGGACACTGTGAGTAATTTTAAAAAACTTGTTTTTTAACTTCATTGTTTTACTCGGGTTTTTCAACTTTTCAGCATAAGTGATGGGTTCCCCATTACACGGACTTTTAAAAATTATTTACCCTTGGGCATTTTTATTTTCTTTCCCAAAAGGGAAAATTTTGGCTTCCTTTCCCCCCGGGGTTTAACGATGGGTTTTTTTTGTCTACTAACCATTTGCTGCAGGACTCCAGTTCCAGTGTTATTACATTAGCTATATCTTGTAGGTCTTTACCTGACAGAGCACTGTCATCCGCATACACTAGGAGTTAGCAATGGACACTGATAGGCATGTCTTTAACATAACACCTCAACATAAAGGACCCCCATGGATATAAGTAAAGGACCCCAATGGAAATAAGTCACTCTGTCTGACTTTTTTGGGTTATCCTAGGTTCTCTACACATATGCTGCTATGTATGATAATTCTATGTAACTGTATTTGTGTATACCTGAATAAACTTATTTACTTACTTAACACAGAAATAATAAGGGACCCAGAATACTATCTTGGGGAACTCCACATGCTATCGGCAGGGGTTCTGATTCAATTTTATTGATTTTGACAATTTGTTTCCTGTTGCTAAGGTAGGACTTAAACCAGTCTACAGAACCTATACCGATAGATTGAAGTTTGTTACATAATATAATGTTGTTGACAGTATTGAAGGCCTTTTGCAAGTCTAAGGTTACCATTCCTATGAAGTTCCCTGTCGACATTTCAGTTCTCATGTAATCCATCAGATTAATTAAGGAGGTGTCGGTTGAGTAAGATCTTCTAAAGCCTGATTGGTAACCATGGAGAATGTTGTTGTCATTTAGATACTTAACTACTTGACAGTACACTGCTCTCTCAAGAATTTTCTATATTACACTGGGTGGAAGGTACGTGAGTACCTTCCACCCAGGTAGATCTGTTTGTGACTTGAAAAAGCCACTGTATGGGCGAAACGTTGTCAATAAAGGATCACATTATACTGCATATGTGTTTATAGTTTCCATTGTGTCGGTATTTTATACCATTTATTTCCACCTAGTGACATCAATGACATACTACTATATAAAAAGCCGCTTGTTACGTTGAGCATTTCGGGCAAATTAGGTCACTGTCCCAGGATGCGACTCACATCATTCGACTAACATCCAGGTACCCATTTTAAACTGATGGGTGAACAGGGACAGTGACAGCATGTGTCTTATGGAAACACGTCCCTAATGATTCCAACCGTACTGGAGGAGATTCGAACCCCGGACCTCAGTGTGTGAGCTGAGTGCGCTAGCGATCCAGCTAGCGCATATTTATACACCGTAGGGAGGTTAGCATGAGTCCCACTGTGACCACAAATGCAAGATTTTACAGATGGACCTCCAGCCAGCATTTGTGGGACCTATGCTAACCTCCCTATGGTATATAAATATACAGATGAATGTTACTGTAGCCAGCTGACCCAGTGGTTTACACGCTGACCTGGAGTTTTACAACTCACTTGCCGTGAGTTCAATCCTCAACCGTACTGTGGGTTCTTTGCAATCGTGTCTGTAAAACTGATTTATGCAAAAAAAACTAAAATACACAAGAACACAGGAACTGCAGTAGCCCTACCGGTCCATGTTAGGCAGGTACAACTCACACGCACTTAACCCATCCAACCTATATTTAAAGCTACCTAAATTTCTTGCATCAATGACAATATCTCTACTGCGAATATCCTTTCTAAATCTAAGTACAAGTAACAGAAGTCCAAAAGTTATTTTACAGCTCTATACATCACTAGTGAGGCCTCATTTGGATTATGCCGCTTGGTTTTGGTCTCCTTACTACAGGATGGATATAGACTCGCTGGAGAATATACAGGGAAGAATGACTAAAATGATTTACTATGTAAGGAATCTCCCGTATGAAGACAGACTTAGAGCTTTGAATCTCCAGTCTCTGGAGAGACGTAGAATGAGGGGGAGATATGACTTAAGAAATCGTAATGACACGATTGCAAACAAACCATAGCCCTGGCCGGGATTGAACCCGCGGTCATAGAGTCTCAAAACTCCAGCCCGTCGCGTTAGCCACTAGACCAGCTAGCCACAATAAGATTCATCCAACTAGGTATATTTCTACACCATAGAAATATACCTAGTTGGATGAATCTTATTGTGGCTAGCTGGTCTAGTGGCTAACGCGACGGGCTGGAGTTTTGAGACTCTATGACCGCAGGTTCAATCCCGGTCGGGGGTATGGTTTGGAGGGGGAGATATCGTCGAAGTGTATAAGTGGTGCAAGAAAGGTATAAAATAAAATAAGTGTAAGGTAATTGCCCTTGGTAATGAAAATAACCCTCGAAGCTATAATCTAGGTGAAGTAGAGCTTGGTCACACAGAATGTGAAAAAGACTTGGGAGTCATGGTGAGCAGAAATCTAAAGCCAAGACAGCAGTGCCTCAGTGTGCGCAACAAGGCCAACAGATTACTTGGATTTATCTCAAGAAGTATAAGTAACAGAAGTCCAAAAGTTATTTTACAGCTCTATACATCACTAGTGAGGCCTCATTTAGATTATGCTGCTCAGTTTTGGTCCCCTTACTACAGGATGGACATAGACTCATTAGAGAACATACAGAGAAGAATGACTAAAATGATTTACTGTTGTTAGGTAAGACACATATGCAACAGTTAGGTATCTTTATCTCGAAACGTTTCGCCTACACAGTAGGCTTCTTCAGTCGAGTACTGAAAAGTTGATAGAAGCAGAAGATACTTGAAGACGATGTAATCGTTCCTCCATTCTTATGTTCTTATGTTCTTAAAGATACCTAACTGTTGCATGTGTGTCTTACCTAACAACATTCTTACGTTCTTAAATGTCTCCAACCTGAATCCATTGCTGCGGGTCCTGTCTTGGTTACATATTTTCACCACATTATTTATGTCCCCTTTGCTTCTGTCTTTTATGTATACTCTTCAGTTGAAATATAAACACATATGCAGTATAACGTGATCCTTTATTGACAACGTTTCGCCCGTACAGTGGGCTTTTTCAAGTCACAAATAGATCTACCTGGGGTGTTGTAGGTTTTCCGGTACTTCCGGCCCGGGTCTTCTCCAGATGGCGACCCGGCGGTGGCCTCCCGGGCGGGGGGTGTCGTTCATCTTCTTTCTTCTGTATTGTTTCTTGGGGCCCTCCGGTTGGAGGGTGACTTCTTCTGTCTTGCGGTGACTCCCCAAGTGGGAAATATCTTCTCGTTTAGCATCTTCAGCAGCATAGGAGGGCGGAGGCAGCAATTACAGGGTTCTTTTTGGAGCCACACCCCAGCTTTAGCAGGCAGCAAAGTGCTGGGGAAACTTGCCTTCACGATGATTGATCATTGACAGTCCTGCTAGATGAGGGTACCGTCTTCGGCAGCCCCATTCTGGAGAGTCCTGAATTTCTTCCTCGTGATGTAGTCGAGTGCCACAAAGCGGTGACTTTTTGTGAGTAGGTTGATCAGGGATTCAGTGGTGCATGATCGAGTTGAGTCGCAGGTGAACTTGACTGTCCCGTTGTGGAGGCGTTGAATAATTTCTGGAGTGTACATTGTGTTCTCATTCTGGTTGGTTGTGTAGAAGTATACACCAGGCAAGCAATGGACTTCTTGTGAAGGAGTGGCGGTAGTACGTAGGGATGCATCCCAAGGCTCTTGTGTTTTAACCTTCTTGGCTGGCGGCTGAGACGTTTGAGGTGAGGCGTCTGATTGGTCCGTTGTGACGAAGGTGGAAGCAGGTGCTGGTGGACTCTCATTGGTGGAATCGGTCGGCGTCTCAGTGGTCTCTGATTGGTCCATCTCTGTGTCGGGAGGAAGGTGTGTAGCGGTGGAGCAGCGGTAATGTTGGAGACATTTGCAGTGGATTTTATGATCTCTGTGGAAGGTGGAGATGCAGGGAATGTGAAACCAGGCATGTTGTTGAGCTTGAAGAGTTCGTTGGTGGTGGTGTTGAAGGAACCAGGTTCAGATACATTCTGCACATGAGCATACATGATGCAGTAAAGAATTTTGTTGGAGTCGCCAGCAAGAGCTGGCGAAGAAGTGGTAGATGCAGCTTGCGTGGCTTGAAGAATCTTGGTAGTATCTGCTTGAAGCTTGGTAATAGCAGCATATGTAGTCGCTTGTGCAGTGGTTTTTTTGTTGTTGGAGTTGTTTCTTAAGTATACCTCGTGGTTGGGCACTTGGCAGCAAGAGTATGGTGACCATTCTTGCAGTTCAAGCATTTAGGTGGAGAGTCAGCAGTGCACGTCTTGAAGTCATGACCTTCTTGGCCGCAGATGGAGCAGAACTTCTTATTCTTGGCAGGGCAGTCTTTGGTGGTATGTAGGTATGAGTAACAGTTGGAACACTGTGGAATTTGATGGAACTTTTCTGCTTCGATGAAGGCTGGATTGATGTGGAAGTAGTGAATAGCCAGTCCCTCAGCGAGAGCTCTGGCTGCCATGTTGACGTCACTGAAGGTGACCTTCAGCATGGAGGAGGCATTGGGTATTTTGTTAATGAATTCCACCTTGGCCCAAGGGTTCTGTGCTTCAATGGACGACTTGATTTCTTCGGTAGCCTGGGCAGTGATAAGCCTGTCGAGTCTCTTGAGGAACACAGTTCTCCTGGCCCTCAGAGCTGGGGAAGTCAAGACAATAAACCCCTGATCTCGTAGTGGTTGTAGCAGTGGTGGTAATGAGTTTTTCAGCCTCGGTGTCGTCAGTACAGACGACAACGAAGGCCTCTTTGAGCGACAGAATCGCATTAAACTTGACTTGCAGTCTGCCACTGACGACAGCTGCAAGTGCTTGGACGAGTCATCGACTGTCCCGCTCTCTGGTTTGATCTTTACCCTGTTCGAGAAGTGCATCGTGAAGTGTGGTCTGCTACGCTGTAAAAAGAGCTGAATCATGCTTTTTCAAGTCACAAACAGAACTACCTGAGGTGGAAGGTACGCGAGTATTTATAGTCAGGTTCAGAATGCTGAGGTCAGGTGGAGAATGCTGCATCTGATGATGTACCGAGTGGGGTATTAGAGTCTAAAATTTTAGAAAGTGGGGTTATAGAGTCTAAAATTTCAGACTCTATAACCCCACTTTCTAAAATTTTCAGAAAGTGGGGTTATAGAGTAAATCATCAAAAAGTGGGGTTATAGAGTCTAAAATTTCAGACTCTATAACCCGACTCGGTACATCATCAGATGCAGCATTCTCCACCTGACCTCAGCATTCTGAACCTGACTATAAATACTAGCGTACCTTCCACCTCAGGTATATCTGTTTCTGACTTGAAAAAGCCCACTGTGTGGGCGAAACGTTGTCAATAAAGGATCACATTATACTGCATATGTGTTTATATTTCCATTGTGTCGGTATTTTATACCATTTATTTCCATACTCTTCAGTTATCTCTCTCCCAGTTTTACGTGTCTCCGAAGAGTGCAAGTTCCTTCAGCCTATTTTTGTAGGGAAAATTTGTTACATGAAATCAACTTCGTCATCCTTCGTATATTTTCCAGCGCATTTATGCCCATCTTATAATATGGAGACCAGACCTGAGCAGCATATTCTAAATGAGGTATAACCAAGGATATATAAAATCGAAGTATAACCTGAGGACTTCTATTATTTATACTTCTTAATATGAAGCCAAGAATTCTATCAGTTTTATTTTAACTAAGAGTTACATTGATGATCTTTTAAGAGCCATAGACATTTCATTTTCTGCACTGAACTGCATCTGCCACTTCACCGACCACAACATCAGCCTGTCCATCCTGTAGCCTTGTAGTGTCCACATCAAAAATTATTTGAAAGCTATTTTAATGTCATCGGCAAACTTATTTATGTCGGTATTTATTCTCTCAACAATGCCGTTATATAGATTGTGAACAACAAGAGTTCCCACAATGACCCATGTGGAACCCCAGTAACAGGTCCTGATTCTGATTTCTCCCCATTAATGCAAACTTTATGTTGTCTATCAGTCAGCTATACCTCGACCCAGGAGATAATTTCTCCTATTCCACGTGCCGCTACTTGTTACTCAGTCTCCTGCGTGGAACTTTTTCAAAGGTCTGACTCAGGTCTATATACGCAATATCACATTCTTTGTCATTATTATTATTATTATTGTCATAACTAAGAGCAAAACCCACAAGGGTCATATAGCACTGTCTCTTTGTCCTGATGTACCACTTCAAATCCCTTAGTAAAAAAAGGTTGGTAAATCTGTAAGGCTCGTCCTCTGGGACCAGCTGTCCCCAAGCCTACCCCCATTCCCCGCCCCCGCGGGGCTCGGAGGGAGAAACTAGGCATCTTGGGCTGCCACAAAGCCTGCCCACACTGGGCTCGAAGGGTGTGGCAGCTGCATAGCAGCAGACGATGTCAGGAGGGGCAAAGGCAGCAAACACTACAGGATCCTTTTGGAGTCACACGCTAGCTTTGGGCATTAAGCCCGAGTGCTGGGGAAGCTTAAGAATGCCTCTTGTGTGTTGCTGCTGCTGCTACTACTACACTTGTCCGCTGTACTCTCTGTGAACCATCTGCCGATTTGTAAATAACTATCACATCTGCCATTTGCCATTTATCCAGCACAGTGCCAGTTTGCAGTAATATGTTAAAAAAGACCAGTTTACATTTCTGTAGATTGTAGAAAGACTGAAAACAGATCATCAGAACCTGGCGTCTCGCTTTGCATCAGTCTCTCTAGTTGTTTGAGGACCAGGTCACTAGTGACTTTGATACTGCATAATATATTTTCGTCCCGACCAGTATAATTGTTAATTTCTGGGATTTCGTTTACATCCTCTTGTGTATAAACAGAGAAATAAGTTCAAAATGGAACTCATTTCATTGGCACTAACAGTGAGATGACTTGAGTTGCATCTAAGTGGATCTATGTTTTTCCTAATCTTATCGCTATATACCTGAAATATACTTCGCTATATACCTGAAATATACTCTGAAGGTTAGTCTTTCATTTCCTCTCAACCTTAATTTCATAATCTCTTTTGGTTTTTCTTATTAATTATTTTGACTACTCTCTTAAATATATTGTTCAACCAGGAGACCATCACTTATTTTGACTGCTGGAATGTATTGTTTATCCATTTAACATTGAGGTTAAACTCTCAGTGTATCTACACAAGACACATACCTCTCGGTGTATATACTCAGAGATATACCACTCGGTATATATTCACTGAGACATACCACTCGGTGTATATACACTCAGAGACATAACACTAACATATATAACTAAGTAAATTTGTTATGTATGTGTGTGTGTGTGTGTGTGTGTGTGTGTGTGTGTGTGTGTTTGTGTGTGTGTGTGTGTGTGTGTGTGTGTGTGTGTGTGTGTCGTACCGAATAGGTAAAACTGGTCAATTGGCAAGAACATATTTAAAATTAAGCCCTTTCTAAAATTTCTCTTAAACATTTAAAGATATATTTTTTCATTTATGTTAATGTAAAAATTAATAATTTTGTACCTAAAGAACCTTAGAAAACTTACCTAACCTTATTATAACAAGCGCAATTTAATTTGGCCTAATCCAACTAAATATATTTTAGATAAGTTTACAATAATTTAATAGTAAACAAACACAATGAAATATATTTTTTCGTTAGGTTCAGAATGATTTTTGTGAAATTATTGCATACACAAATTTTTGGTTGCCTTATTCGACAAGAAGAGCGTTGATATATATATATATATATATATATATATATATATATATATATATATATATATATATATATATATATATATATATATATTATGGGGTCCACCTCTGGTGTAAATTGTGGAAACCATAGCCTCGGATAAGTGGATAAAACGGCTTCAAGGAAGAATATTTGGATTTCTTCTTATATATGCAATAAAATCACAGTAAACAGGTGATACCACAATATACAGAACAACCACTGTGAAAGAACAACGAAATTCCCAGCGCGTTCACCACTTCTCAGGAGAGCGCTGGGAATTTCACTATTCTTTCACAGTGGTTGTTCTGCATACATTTATTTTATTTATTAACACATCAGCCGTCTCCCACCAAGGCAGGGTGGCCCGGAAAAAAAAACTTTCATCATTCACTCCATCACTGTCTTGCCAGAGGAGTGCTTTACACTACAGTTATAAAACTGCAACATTAACACCCCTCCTTCAGAGTGCAGACACTGTACTTCCCATCTCCAGGACTCAAGTCCGGCCTACCGGTTTCCCTGAATTCCTTCATAAATGTTACCTAAATATATATATATGATTTTTCACAATGTAAACTACTGTTTTTTTTTTTAAGTGATGCCTTGATGCTGATCATGTGCTCTTGATTCAAATATATAGAGCACTCCTCCCGTTCCTTGGATCAAGGCTGCCCAGGTACTGGTGACCCCTGCTGACTTAGCGCACCTCCCACCAGGATAAAAATATGTCGTTTATTAATGCAGATTGAAGGTAGAGTTGAAGACTATGTTACTGACCTCCTTGAGTTGAGTGGTGAGTCGTTGATTCTGTTCAGTCAGTTGATCTATCAACTGACTCCTCTCTCTCTCAGTGTGTTTGATGGTGTCCCTCTCAGTGTGTAGCTCACTCCTGGGGAAGTCAGTCAACAATCATCAGTCTGAACATTAAAGTGGTATAAAATACCGACAGGTTGTTAGGTAAGACACACATGCAACAGTTAGGTATCTTTATTTCGAAACGTTTCGCCTACACAGTAGGCTTCTTCAGTCGAGTACAGAAAAGTTGATAGAAGCAGAAGAGACTTTTCTGTACTCGACTGAAGAAGCCTACTGTGTAGGCGAAACGTTTCGAAATAAAGATACCTAACTGTTGCATATGTGTCTTACCTAACAATCATCAGTCTGTACATGTACGGTATATAATACTCTCAAGATAAAAATTAGACACATATGCAACATCTTTGCTGTAGACGTGTCACCATTCAGTGGCTTTATCAATACAAATTGGAGTTACTGATGAGTACAACGGTGCTCATCACCAGCCCCGAGGCTGTGGGACTCATTACCTCATGTTTTGCATACAGTTTTACTGTCTTCCAATTATGTCCTGGAATTTGTATTAATAAAGCCACTGGATGGTGACACGTCTACAATAAAGATACCCAGATGTTGCACATGTGTCTAATTTACAATCATCAGTCTAACACTCACTTTATTAGCACAGTGTCTAATTTACAATCATCAGTCTAACACTCACTTTATTAGCACAGTGTCTAATTTACAATCATCAGTCTAACACTCACTTTATTAGCACAGTGTCTAATTTACAATCATCAGTCTAACACTCACTTTATTAGCACAGTGTCTATTTACAATCACAGTCTAACACTCACTTTATTAGCACAGTGTCTAATTTACAATCATCAGTCTAACACTCACTTTATTAGCACAGTTTATGACACGTGAATTTCATGAGCGGTGAACTGCTGCACTACTCCATATGACAGTTACACAGTGGGAACACATGCTAGGTAGGTGTCACTGTTATATTTCATTACGCAGGATGTGAGCTGGACTCAGCTAGGGGACTTTAGTACAGTGACGGAGTGGGGATGAGGGAGTGAGTGGGGGTGAGGGAGTGAGAGAGGGGTGGTGATGGAGAGAGAGTGGGGAGGAAGTAGGGGTGAGAGGGAATGAGGAAGGGAAAGAGTGAGGAGGGAGGGAATGAGGTGGGAGAGGAGGTGGGAGGGGAGAAGGTGGGAGGGAAGGAGGTGCGAGAGGAAGTGGGAGGGGAGGTGGGAGGGAAAGGGGTGGGAAGGAAAGAGGTGGGAGGGAAGGAACTGGGGGAAGGAAAGAGGTGGGAGGGAAGGAGGTGGGAGAGAAAGAGGTGGGAGGGAAGGAGGTGGGAGGGAAGGAGGTGGGAGGGAAGGAGGTGGGAGGGAAGGAGGTGGGAGGGAAGGAGATGGGAGGGAAGAAGGTGGAGGGAAGGAGGTGGGAGAGAAGGAGGTGGGAGGGAAGGAGGTGGGAGGGAAGGAGGTGGGAGGAAGGAGATGGAAGGGAAGGAGGTGGGAGGGAAGAATGAGGGAGGTAAGGAGGAGGAGGGAAGAAGGTGGGAGGGAAGAAGGTGGGAGGGAAGGAGGTTGGAGGGAAAGTTGTGGGAGGGAGGGTGGTGGGAGTGAAGGTGGTGGGAGAGGAGGTGGGAGGGAAGGAGGCGGGAGGGAAGGAGGTTGGAGGGAAAGTTGTGGGAGGGAGAATACAAGTGATGAACAGAATCTATTATCTATGCCCAGGATCTATTATCTATGTCCAGGATCTATTATCTATGTCCAGGATCTATTATCTATGCCCAGGATCTATTATCTATGTCCAGGATCTATTATCTATGTCCAGGATCTATTATCTATGTCCAGGATCCATTATCTATGTACAGGATCTATTATCTATGTCCAGGATCCATTATCTATGTCCAGGATCCATTATCTATGCCCAGGATCTATTATCTATGTCCAGGATCCATTATTTATGTCCAGGATCTATTATCTATGTCCAGGATCCATTATCTATGCCCAGGATCTATTATCTATGCCCAGGATCTATTATCTATGTCCAGGATCTATTATCTATGTCCAGAATCCATTATCTATGCCCAGGATCTATTATCTATGCCCAGGATCTATTATCTATGCCCAGGATCTATTATCTATGTCCAGGATCTATTATCTATGTCCAGGATCCATTATCTATGCCCAGGATCTATTATCTATGTCCAGAATCTATTATCTATGTCCAGGATCCATTATCTATGTCCAGGATCTATTATCTATGTCCAGGATCCATTATCTATGTCCAGGATCTATTATCTATGTCCAGGATCTATTATCTATGTCCAGGATCCATTATCTATGTCCAGGATCTATTATCTATGTCCAGGATCCATTATCTATGCCCAGGATCTATTATCTATGTCCAGGATCCATTATCTATGTCCAGGATCTATTATCTATGTCCAGGATCCATTATCTATGCCCAGGATCTATTATCTATGCCCAGGATCTATTATCTATGTCCAGGATCTATTATCTATGTCCAGGATCCATTATCTATGCCCAGGATCTATTATCTATGCCCAGGATCTATTATCTATGTCCAGGATCCATTATCTATGTCCAGGATCTATTATCTATGTCCAGGATCCATTATCTATGTCCAGGATCTATTATCTATGTCCAGGATCTATTATCTATGTCCAGGATCCATTATCTATGTCCAGGATCCATTATCTATGTCCAGGATCCATTATCTATGTCCAGGATCCATTATCTATGTCCAGGATCCATTATCTATGTCCAGGATCCATTATCTATGTCCAGGATCCATTATCTATGTCCAGGATTTATTCTTTAAATCCAAGATCCATTGTCTATATCTCGAATCCATTTTCTATTTTTAGAATTCATTATCTATGTTCAAGATATATTATCTGTGTTCAAGATATATTATCTATGTTCAAGATATATTATCTATGTTCAAGATATATTATCTATGTTTAAGATATATTATCTATGTTCAAGATATATTATCTATGTTTAAGATATATTATCTATGTTCAAGATATATTATCTATGTTCAATATATATTATCTATGTTCAAGATATATTATCTATGTTTAAGATATATTATCTATGTTCAAGATATATTATCTATGTTCAATATATATTATCTATGTTCAAGATATATTATCTATGTTTAAGATATATTATCTATGTTCAAGATATATTATCTATGTTCAATATATATTATCTATGTTCAAGATCTAGTCTCTATATCAGAAAGTTATTTTATCAATCTAGAACATTTGTAAAGACCTTCTTGTATACTTCAGAATGTGTGTTTCACATTTACTTGACTTCTTACGACCTCACTTGACTTCTTACGACCTCACTTGACTTCTTACGACCTCACTTGACTTCTTACTACTTTACTATACGTCAACTAACCTTTTTTTTCAATTTCCAGGCTCTTTCCTACTAACTTTAGATAAGTCCACTTGGTATATGACCTTATTTGACCTATCCTGGCCTCAGCGAGGTAATGACCTCTCGTGACCTAGTGTGAAACAATTTGATAACTCACCAAACCGTAATAACACGATTTCAAATAAATTACGGTGCTGGTGGGGATCGAACTCGCGGCAAGTGAGTCGTAAAATTCCAGGACAGCACGTAAGCCACTGGGCCAGCTGGCTACATAAGATTCATTCAGCTGGGTACATTTGTAAACCATAGGGAGGTTAGGCTGCTAACCTCCCTATGGTGTATAAATATACCCAGTTGGATGAATCTCATGTAGCCAGCTGACCCAGTGGCTTAGGCGCTGCCCTAGAGTCTTAACGATTCACTTGTCGCGAGTTCGATCCCCACCGGTACCATGGTTTGTTAACTTACTTGATGTTCTGGAGGTCGATGGTGAGTTCCTGGATCCTGACCTCATATTCGCTCTCCGTGGAGGTTAACTTGCGTCTTAAGCTGTGTTTCTCCTGCTCCAGCACCTGTGTGAGGAGGCAACACAAATTAGATCATTTTACCCTAACAACTGTAAGTAGTATAAGTAGTAGTAGTAGAAGTAATCTTGCTTTTTCCTATCCTCTCCTCGCTAACTACTACTAACACCACCATCCTTTGCTGCCTAGCATGGGCCAGTAGTCCCGCTGCAGTGTTCCATCTTTTTTTGGCTCTTATATTTTCCTCCCTCAACATCAGCTACGTTAAATCTTACAAATATCTTGGTGTAGATGAACCCTTCAATAAATTCATCATATCACAACTAAATAAGAAATGGAAATGCTAAATGCTGTCAGAGACGCTGCTGGTTACAACCCAAGTATGGTGCTAATGTATGAGTAATCTGAATGATATGTCTAGACTATGTTAGATCCTTAACTGATTATGCTGCATCCATGTTAATATTACCTAAGGAAAATCTCCCCGGCCCTTGGGACTTTTGTAAAATGAAGCACTCAGAATTATTCTTGGCTGCCCTTAATCTACCAAGGTTCTTAATATGAGGAAGGAGCTTGGTGTTCCTAGTATCTTTGATAGAATTACTGAGATTAACACTGTACTTGGCATTAAAATGTTAATAAATGAACAGACACTGTCATTAAAAATCTTAGTAAACGTCGAAGGTAAATAAACACAGAGCGAAATGGGTTATTTAGTTTTATAACTTACATGAACTGTATCACTGTAAACAACAGAAAAATGTCACCCTTCCATGGAAGTTGTGTTCATTTAATATCACATAGCAGCCAGCCCCTCCCTACCTCATTACTAGTAATTCCTTCATTAAATCTCTCGAAAAAGGCAACTATTCAAAAGGAAATTTCTCGCTTAACTGTTAGCAATAATTTATCACAAGTTATATACTCTGATGGATCTAAGCAAGAGTCTCCTGGCAGGGCTGCACCTGCTCTTGTTATCGCCGCCTTAGATAAGAACGATAGAAACTATGCTGAGTTAAGCATAAAAATAAACAACTGGGCGTCTACACTGCAAACTGAATTGTTTGACATCCTAATGGCGCTCAAATTAATTTATGACACTGAGCTTGACTCACTGATTGCAGATCACTCAGTATCATCACTGATGACACTTGACTAATATAAGGTCTGACAACATGGTCAGTTGCGATGTCAGGAATAGATACTCAAAAATCAAAGGAGAAATAATGTAAAAAAAAAATATTGGATTCTATCACACACTAAATTACTTCATGATAAAACTGGTAAGTTAGGCAAAGAAAGTAACCTGAAGGAAAATGTCGAATATAACTTTGGTGTATCTGTGTCTAGTATTAGGAACAATATTAGGAGAAAAGTAAATAATGAAAGTGAATGTCATAGGAATGCAGTTAGAAGCCTGAGTGTCTCTATAACTCACTATAATAACATGGACGTAAGCATGGTTACGGAGCAAATTCCATTGTTAACAGACTGACTGATGTAGTAGCCAGGCTCAGGCTTGGTTATATGTACTACTGGCAGTTTGGTAGACATGATGATGATCAAACTAAATGCACAGAATGTAGTGAACCGCCTTATGGTCACTTATTAGGGAATTTAGAGATAGTTTAACAATCTATGTTATATGTCATGGTATCTTTTTAATGCAAACGGGATACCAGACATACTCTATTTAAGCAACTATCTTAAATTTATTTGCAAATGATAAAATAATTGTAGATACTTTAAGTTCAGATACACTTCAGTTAACCTTTTTTGGAGGCCTAGTTGCTAGGCCTTGTGTTTATCCATATGCTCTTGCGCTACCGTCCACAGGATGGATATGAGGTGCACAATAAACTAGCAACTTCGGAGACAAAATAATCATTCAATCCTCCCTCACCACCAACAGAATGCAAAAGGCAATTAGAGGGTTGCCACTGGTAAGGGATGGGGGGTGAAGGGACGCTGAAGAATCACGCTCACCAAACAAGCCATTCTCCACCTACCAGCAATTATTGAGGAAGAGGGTGTGACACCTCTGCAGCGACAACCCCCACGCTTTTTCTTTTTTTTTTTTGGGTGTGTGTACTCACCTAGTTCTCACCTAGTTGTGGTTGCAGGGATCGAGTCACAGCTCCTGGACCCGCGTCTTCACTGGTCACTACTAGGTTACACTTACTGCTCCATGAGCTTTATCATACCTCTTCTTAAAGCTATGTATGGATCCTGCCTCCACTGCATCACTTCCCAGACTATTCCACTTCCTGACAACTCTGTGACTGAAGAAATACTTCTTAACATCCCTGTGAATCATCTAAGTCTTCAACTTCCAACTGTGACCCCTTGTTTCTGTGTCCCATCTCTGGAACATCCTGTCTCTGTCCACCTTGTCGATTCCTCTCAGTATTTTACATGTCGTTGTCATATACCCCCTATCTCTCCTGTCCACCAGTGTCATTCAGGTCGATTTCTCTTAACCTCTCCTCGTACGACATGCTCCTTAACTCTGGGTCTAGTCATGTTGCAAACCTTTGCACTCTCAAATTTCCTTAAATGCTTGGCTAGGTGTGGGTTCCAAACCGGAGCTGCATACACCAATATAGCCCTAACGTACACGGTGTACAGGGTCCTGAATGATTCCTTATTAAGATGTCGGAATGCTGTTCTTAGGTTTGCTAGGCGCCCATATGCTGCAGCAGTTATTTGGTTGATATGCGCCTCAGGAGATGTGCCCCATGTTATGTTCACCCCAAGATCCTTTTCCTTGAGTGAGGTTTGTAGTCTCTGGCCCCCTAGACTGTACTCCATCTGCGGTCTTCTTTGCCCTTCCTCAATCTTCATAACTTTGCACTTGGTGAGGATGAACTCCAGGAGCCAGTTACTGGACCAGGCCTGCAGCCTGTCCAGATCCCTTTGTAGTTCTGCCTGGTCCTCGTCCGATTGAATTCTCATCAACTTCATATCTGCAAACAGGGACACTTCTGAGTCTATTCCTTCCGACATGTCATTCACAAATACCAGAAACAGCACTAGTACTAGGACTGACCCCTGTGGAACCCCGCTCGTCACAGGCGTCCACTCTGACACCTCGCCACGTACCATGACTCGCTGTTGTCTTCCTGACAGGTATTCCCTGATCCATTGCAGTGTCTTCCCTGTTATCCTTGCCTGGTCCTCCAGCTTTTGCACTAATCTTTTGTGTGGAACTGCGTCAAACGCCTTATTACAGTCCAAGAAAATGCAATCTACCCACCCCTCTCTCTCTTGCTTTATTGGTGTCACCCTGTCATACAACTCCAGTAGGTTTGCGACACAGGATTTCCCATCCCTGAAACCTGCTGGTTGTCGTTGATAAGCTCATTCCTTTCTAGGTGTTCCACCACTCTTCTGATAATCTTCTCCGTGACTTTGCATATTATACATGTCAGTGACACTGGTCTGTAGTTTAATGCTTCGTGTCTGTCTCCTTTTTTAAAAACTGGGACTACATTTGCTGTCTTCAATACTGCCGGTAGTCGCCCTGTTTCGATAGAAACAGGACCCATGGAGAGATGTTATCTGGCCCCATCGCCTTTGAGGTATCTAGCTCGCTTAGCATCCTCTTCACTTCTTCCTCGGTTATATGTATTGTGTCCCTTCTGTCTCCTCTGTGAACACTTCTTTGAATCTCATGTTGAGCTCCTCACATACATCGTGGTCGTTTCTTGTGATCTCCCCCCTTCCTTCTGCAACCTGATTACCTGGTTCTTGACTGTTGTTTTCTTCCTGATGTGGCTCTACAACAGCTTCAGGTCAGATTTGGCTTTCGCTGCTATGTCATTTTCGTATTGTCGTTGGGTCTCCCTTCTTAATAGTGCATATTCATTTCTGGCTTTACAGCTGCTCTCCTTATTCTCCTGGGTCCATTGCCTTCTATACTTTTTCCATTCTCATTCACACTTGGTTGTGGCCTCTCTACACCTTTGGGTGAACCAAGGGCTCATCCTGGCTTTCTCGTTTTTTTCTGTTTCATTGCAAATTGTCACATATTCCACCATGTCGTATACTGTGCTTCCCTGCCAGTGCTATGTCCAACTGAACTTCATGCAGGAAATTCTTCATGGCTGTGTAGTTCTCTCTCTTGTAGTTTTGCTTCATTCATTCTACTCTTTCTGCTTCCTTCTCCACTTGTAACTCTCTTATGTATTCAAAGTTCAGAACCATATGGTCACTGACCCCAACGGGTCTTTCACATGTGATGTCCTCAATATCTGCACTACACAAGGTGAATACTAGGTCCAATCTTGCTGGTTCGTCCTCTCCTCTCTCTCTGGCAGTTTTCCTTACATGTTGGTACATGATGTTTTCCAGTACCACCTCCATCATTTTAGCCTTCCACGTTTCTGGGCCCCCATGTGGCTCCAGGTTCTCCCAGTCAATTTCTTTGTGACTGAAGTTAACCACATTCAGTAGCTTTGCCCTACTCGCATGATCCTTCTGGCCACTTTATCCAGTGTGTCAACCATTGCTCTGTTACTCTCATCATACTCTTGTTTCGGCCTCCTCCTGTTCTGTGGTTGGTTATACATCACTGAAATTACCACCTTGGGACCTCCAGGCTGAAATGTTCATATTATGTAATCTCTTGCTTCTCCTCTGTCTCCTCTCTCCAGCTCATCAAAATCCCAATGGTTTTTGATCAGCAGTGCCACTCCTCCACCCCCCTCTTTCCCTCTGTCTTTCCTCAAGATCTGATATCCCGTTGCAAAGATGGGATCTGTTATCATTCCTGTGAGCTTGCTTTCGGTGAGAGCTGTGACGTCTAGTGATGTCTCTTTGACTCTTTCGTGCTTTGTATTGGAATGATGAAGCCAATGTGTGCTGAAACGTTCCCTCAATAAAGATTCCCATATGTTGCATAAGTGTTTCAATCTTCAACTTGTCGGTTTTTAAGCCATTTACCACGTCTGTCAGACACTACAACATCATGGGATCTTGGTACAAAGAATTCTTCAAAACTTGTCCAACCTTTGGACGAAGACCTACTTCGACTAGTGGATGGTACCACTATGACCCTGCCTCCTACTGCATCGCCTCACCTGACTACAGTATATAAACCACGTCTACGGCCCTATGCTGTACATTCTACAAGATTGATGGACTGAACACATCGACTCCAGGCTGAGGGACTGATTACCTCAAACTCCTCCTCTCCTTACACCTTTCTGCTTTGCATTGGACTGATGAAGCCACTGTGTGGCGAAATGTTTCCTCAATAAAGATTCCCATAGGTTGTATAAGTGTCTCAATCTTCAACTTGTCGGTTTTTTAAATAATTTATCACACACACACACACACACACACACACACACACACACACACACACACACCACACACATACATACATACATACACACACACACACACACACACACACACACACACCACACACACACACACACATATATATATAAATATATATATATATATATATATATATATATAAATATATAAAAATATATATATATATATATATATATATATATATATATATATATATATATATATATACTGAAAGTTAAGACACCTGTGCAACATCTGGATTTTCTTTATTGTAGTAGACACGCCATCCAGTGGCTTTATCAATACAGATTCTAGGACATAATAGAAAAGACAGTAGAACTATATACAAAAGATGAGGTAATCAGTCCCTCGGCCTTGCGAACACGTCTACTACAATAAAGATATCCAGATGTTGCACATGTGTCTTAACTTTCATATTGTCGGTATTTTATACCTTTCTTGCACATATATATATACTCCACACACGCCTCAAATGTTTTCACTTTCTGCTGGTAACTTCACTTTTCTTATTTATGACACAGCCAAACTACGGCAGTACCACTTCCTGGAGGTCTACTGATATAAGAACATGAGAACATAATAAAGAAGGAACACTGCAGCAGGCCTACTGGCCCATGCGAGGCAGGTCCAAGTCTCCTACCGGCTTAAGCCAATGCCCCAACCTAGTCAGGTCAGGTCACATTCACTTAAGGAAGGAAAACGGCAACTGACCAAGTAGCACAAGCTAATCAGGTCCAACTCACACCCACCCACACCCACTCATGTATTTATCTAACCTATTTTCAAAACTACACAATGTTTTAGCCTCTATAACTGTACTTGAGAGTTTGTTCCACTCATCCACAACTCAATTCCTGAATCTGAATTTTTCCAACTTAAAACCATTGCTAGGCTAGATATTTTCAGCACGTTATTCACATCCCTTTTATTTATTCCTGTCTTCCATTTATACACCTCAATCATATCCCCCCTAATTCTACGCCTTTCTAGAGAGTGCAGATTCAGGGTCATCAGTCTATCCTCATAGGGAAGATTTCTGATACATGGCATCATCTTTGTCATCCTTTGTATGTTTTCCAGAGCATTTATATCCATTCTGTAATATGGTGACCAAAACTGAACAGCATAATCTAAATGAGGCCTAACCAAGGATGTATAGAGTTGAAGAACAACTTGAGGACTTCTATTATTTATGCTTCTTGATATGA